ATGTTCTGCAGAGCAGAGGTTATTGACCTTATGGGGTCTTTACACTGTACCCCCCTCCCTCCCCTCAACAAAAAAATGTTCACAAAACTACGTGTTCCATGTACAATGTGCATTTTCCTGGGGAAAAGGTACTAGCAATTACCAGATTCCCAGAGGAATCCAGAGTACCCCAATTTAAAAGTGCCTCTAGCTACCAGCACGTTTACCAGTTCTAACACACACACACACACACACACACACACACACACACACACACACACACCTAAATGAGAGGAATGCGGATCTGCCAGAATAAAGTATCTTTTCTTCTATCAGGTTTCCTCTTTCTAGATTAACTCTGGCATTTTTTCATCTTAGTCTATAAATGTTCAGGGGTCCAACTAAAAACTGTGCATTCTAATTCAACAAAAATGGAAGACTCCTTGAAGCCAGCAATCTCCCTTTAATTACATAGCTAGACACTAAGAGGGCAAAATCCCCAGCACAACAGAGGTTTAATTCATGTTACTAGATCTGACCACCAATTCGAAGAAATTTTATGAATATATGAACTCCACCTTCAAGGTCAGAGGGAGCTATATCACCCACAATGCATTTGGGTAGGAGAGAGGAAACGGGCATCCATGGCACTGTCATGCGAAAGAGAACGTGTTTTGTGAGACACGTCTGGAAGAAGCAGAGTCGTTTCTGAGCAGAGCTGATGAAGCTCCTTGGTCACCAAAAGCATTTTTGGTGTTCAACTATGAAAAGGTCAGCCCCTCCTTGCCTCCTTTGTGATTATGTTCCAAAGATACGAAGTCCACTGCATTTGGGGAAGCCAGCCCCCCCCCCCCCCCAGTCTCAGTGCCAGCTCCTCAAATGCTGGGTAATAACTATTTCATTTTCTATACTATGACCTACGGTGTGGCAGGAGCGATGAACAGCAAAGGAGGGGAGGACCTCAATTAAAAAGCTAGTCAGCCAGATGCAAGCAAAAACAATAAGAATGATGGCAAAATACACAGAATGAAGTGACACAGAAGATCGAGTGGCCAAGAATTCCATTTTGAGGGCCACCACCTTGGACAATGCAAACCTTAGGATAACGTATACTGATGATCCCACACTGTGTGCTGAGACACAATGAGGCAGGGCAGCGAACTCACGAGGGCACCATCAGGTACTGTAAATGTATGAAAGAAACAGAGCAACATCTGCAGGACATGGTACAAACCACCACTATTACATTGTTTGGACCTAGTGACCTAAGAAGTGGGATTATTAAGTATTTCTTTTGGCCTAGGGCACCATGAAAACATTTACTGAGACAACCAATGGCACCGTGAAGAGAAAGTCTGGGAATCCCCAGCATACACTTTTTGTGTATGTGTGTGAGGCCTGGAGGATAGATAAGCACAGTCAGATACACACAATTTTGAGCTATATCCACATGCCCATTTTCCATTTCAGGAAGTTAGAAGCTGCTATTTAATCAACTCTTTCTGACTTTATCAGTGGGACCCAATGGTCATTAGAACAATGGACTGTTCCTCCATATCAGGGCTGTCAATCATGGCCGAGAGATGAGGGCCATGTCTGAAATCAGGGACAATCCAACTCATACTTTATCATCAAACATATGCATTAGGTGAGTTCTTTTTCCTTCAAAGTCATCAATTTGGAAGACTCTACACTTATTCCAGGAAGGCTGAAATTACTTAAAAACAAATGCACACTTTTTGGGGGGAAATAGACATTTGAAATTATCTTCAGAGCCCATGCATGGTCATTTAAAAAAACTCAAGTCATAGTAAAACTTCAGCTCTGAGGGAAGATTTGAATTCTAGAAATTGCAAAGCACAAAGCTGGGAGCTAAGTCTGATACTGAAAGGCAGATAAAGCAAACAAGAAAATACCTCATAAGGATTTTTGTCAAACAAACTACTAAGGAGCAATTATAATATGATTCCGCATGTTACACGGATGGGAGAGGAAATGAATTCTGAAGACTTTTCTGAAAGAGAAATGGCAAATGTATTCTGGCAGCAGTATTTATATAAATATACAGTCTTTCATAGTGGCTACTCCGAAGGGCAGTACCCATTGATGCATACACACAGAAGGCACTGTCTTAAAGTCATGCCCATCACTTTTTTGGCAAACATGGAAATCAACAGTATATTTTTATAAACATAAAGCCAATTTATAATATGGACAATTATAGGATACCCAGAAAAAAACAGCATGATTCTTTTATAGAGATACACTGACTTTCTACTACACTGATATAGACAAAGCTAATATTCAGATGGTGCATCTCTCTCTCTCTCTCTCTCTCTCTCTCTCTCTCTCTATATATATATATATATATATATATATATAGTGTCTGGGACACACATACAGTATACACACTTTTGAATAATTATTAATCCCAATGGGTTAAATCTGAAAAGAAAGAAACGTCAATTGAGCTATAAGCTGTTAAAGTGTGTATGTAATTTTAGGCATGATATACATATACCTGTATGTGTATATATATATATATATATATATATATATATATATCCAGAGGCTCCCAACTTATATCAGCTTAAATATAGTTTATGCATCTTTATATTTTAAAATTAGTTGTTTATAACTTATAAGACAGTTCTAAAAAAAAAAAAGCACATTCTACAATTTGGACTTGTAAGGCTAGGAAGCCATTCTACTTTGGTACATAAGATACTTAATCACCACGTAGTACATCATTTCTCTGGGGAAAAGACTTCCCAATTTTTCCATCAGTCTTCCAGGAACACGCCTTCTCTGACAGTGGCAAAGGTGTCCCCACTGATGAGGACAGGGAAAGAAGTGGGGGCTCCCGTTCCTCTCCACAGTCTCTCTTTACTCTTTGCAAATGTCCAAGAGAAATGTTAACTCTTTAGAAGGTACTAGACCAGTGTTCTCAACCCTGGCGCACACCAGAATCACATGAGTGGCTTGAAAAAAACACCAACTCCCAGGCCCCACCCTGGACAGATGAAACCCAAATCCCTGGGACCCTGACAATGACGGTATTTCCAAGCCCCCAGCAATTCCAATGTGCACTGGGGTTGAGGATCATCGACGAACTCCTTCTGTACCCCAGTATGGTAACTAACTCCTTCTCTACGCCAGTATGACTGTTGTGCAAGTCCAGGCCCAGGGCTCACTGGCTAGAGAGGTGTGCACATGAGAAACACTCTCAGTTAAGAATATTTCCAAGTAGAAACTACACTGAACAACAGGTAGGAGTGACCTGACCAGACCAGAGAGATGTTTTCTTTACATATTTCACAAAGCTGGACGGAAGGACCTCAGATTTGTATCTACTACTTTCTTTTTGTATAAGATGGATAAATCAAAGCAAAAAATACAGTTGTGATTGTTTCTTTCTCTCTGACTCAGAGAGGAACCTGCAGATTGAGGACAGTGGGTCCGGAATGGAACAGCCATGATCACTAGGATCATACGCCTTTTCCGGTAGAAAAAGATGCAGACAAGGGTAGCTTCAGAGCAGATGAAACAGATGCCGACTCAAACAGGTATCTCTTGAAACTGAAAGCAAAGACATGTGTGATTGCAAGCCATACCCACTCTGGGCAACTGCTAGGAGCCAGAGGTCAAGAGCAAAGAGAAAACGCAAACAGAGAAAAATACACGATTGCACTTCAAAGTCTGAAAAGGGAAGAAGGGGAGGATTTGAGGGAGCAGTCTTCTCTCCATATTTGTGAGCTTGAGGCAAAGAAAGAAACAAGAGTGTGTCCTCCTCTTCCTCTTTTCATCAAAACCTTCTGCCTCGTATTGCAAGAGCAGACTTGTCTGAGCCCAAAGTCCCAAAGCAATGTCTCCCGGTTGCCTTTTCCCTGGGGATCACTTCACTCCTTGATCTTCGAGGAACCTAAGCCCCAAATCAGAGAACGCACTGGTGTGCTTGGCTGCGAGGAAGAGTTCTTGTCCGCTGCTTACTTGGCTAGCTAGGAGTGCACGGCGGAGCTAGCCTCGTCCCGTGGAGCAAGCGCCTGCATGCTCCTGAAGAAAGATACGCCTCAAGTCGTGGAAACCTGCCAGTCCATTCCTAGGAATTACTCCGCCCCTCCCCATTATCTCTGCATCTGATCAAAGGACACCTAACTGCCTTTCATTTTCTTCTACTGCAGCCCTTCCATGGATAGTAAGGCTTCTTCACTGAATAAAACAAAATCAAAAAAGGTGAATACGTGAGCTACAAGGCAATCCTGGGGGGTCTGTCCGTTGTAGGAGGAGCAACGCAGAAGGAACCAATTCTCTGTGTGGTTTGAAGTGTATTTGCCCTCGTGACTGACGAATGTCCTCCTTACTAGGTACAGATATTCACAGAAGCCACTTGGCTGTAGTGGGACTTATCAAATACACACACACACACACACACACACACACACACACACACACACAGGGGTGGTAGAAAAATCACATCACGAATCACAATCCATTAAGACTACACCACAAATGTCAAAAGAACCCAGTTTGTGACTCTTTGAGCTGTGAGAAAAGTGACTTGATGTTTTCCAAAGTCGGGAAAAGAGTCTGACCAGCATACCTTGCCACTCCACCTGGAAGATGTGGTTAGGACCCAGGACTGAGCAGAAATCTGAGAACATGCGGGAGCCACAACAGCTGAAAACACAGATATTTCACAAGAAGAGCTGCTTGTTGATACTTTTATAATACTCTTAAAGATGCATATTAAATAATTTCTTCTGGACCACAGACACAGTTGAACTTAAAACATAAAAGCCCTATAAATATTGACGACCCAGCCTTGTCTTCCGTGTCTTCCTCCTTGCATAAAATGGAATCTTTCCAACCAAGCGCTTAAACATAAATATTAAAATAATAAGTGGGACAGACTACAGGTCTACTTACAATTTCATCACTACTGTAGCACCTTTTTGACCAGGGCCAATGCACTCATTTTGTAAAGAACAAGAAAAGTCTGCGAAGCTTAAGGACTCATATGACACATCATTAAATATTTAATCACCTTTTTAAGTCCTAAGCTTTTATCATATTTCATCCATCTAGACAGTTCAATCTATACTATAGATTCCAAGGCCCCTTTTGGAGGGGGGAGGAAAAGAAAATTGGGAGAAAAAAGCCTTCTGAGAGGCAGGGTTAAATTATCTCAAGGATGAGTTTCTGTTGGCGCTTTAGTGACCTTGCTTCACCCCGTAAACCCACCAATCCACGGGAGGGTCAACCGATTGAGTCCATCGTTTTAGTCTCCAATAATCAATTTTACAAAAGATGCCACATCTGTTGCTTTGGATTCATGTAGAGTGAAAAACGGATGTTGCTGGGAAAGAAAAGAAAAAATACATGATATTAAAATTTGTCACTGACAAGGTACGCGATGAGTTAATTAACAGATCTGTTTGGTAAACAAATTAATACCCCTATCAGGGCTAAACTGTACTCTTCCTACTTCATCACAAATCAAGTTCACATCTAGTGATGCAAACATTTTTATTTTTTTAAATATATTTTATTGATTTTTTACAGAGAGGAAGGGAGAGGGATAGAGAGTTAGAAACATTGATGGGAGAGAAACGTCAATCAGCTGCCTCCTCCACACTCCCTGCTGGGGATGTGCCCGCAACCAAGGTATATGCCCTTGACCGGAATCGAACCTGGGACCCTTCAGTCCGCAGGCCAACGCTCTATCCACTGAGCCAAACCGGTTAGGGCGATGTAAACATTTTTAAAGATATTTCCTCTTAGCTGCCACTCTCCCATTTTGATATGCTCCCACTACAGAGGACCTATTGCTTAAACATATTATATAATTAGGCTACATAGATCCTATTTATGGTAAAATACAAGGATCAGCAAAGACAGTTCAAACTCTGATTTATACAAAGAACTGTTATACGGATATAGCAGTAAAATAATTACAAGTTTCACAGGTTTATGCACAGTCACTTCTCAGGAAATAGGTGGTAGAATGAAAAACCAATTTTGCAGGACAGTAAACGGGCAAGACACTGCCTGTCCTTGACCCTGGAGAGCTGGTTTGGACTGGAAGGCACTTTCTAAGCCACATCTACAGCCTTGAGTTAGACTTACGTCTGTCTTTCTTGAGGAAGAGTTGATCCTTCTGGAAAACAGTGTGGACTGCCAAACTCTAGCTATGGGAGGGGAAAACGCAACTCGCAGATCCAAGGTGGAAAAGCCAAAGAAATGGTCTCTATTCACGCAGGTCACATGAAATCAACTTTATAAGAACATCAAGCCCAGCACTTTGCTCGGGAAATAGACATGGTCTGACACGAGAGGCCATGCATTTCAAAACAAGTTTGGAGGAAACAAAGCCATTTTCTCTGCACCAGAACCATCTTCCCTAAATAACTCCATGTTGTGACAGCAACTGCCTGGCTGTACACTGGTAGCTTCCACCTCTAATTAGGAGATACATCAGCTCATGATCCATCCACAGTTCTCACAGGGGAAATACAGCCAACCAACCAAATCAAAAAGGGCAGTCCCTTCAGGTAGGACCTGAGCCGGGTCCTGCTCCCCACTGCCCCCGCCACACAACACGGCCACCTTCCTGGTTGTCTGCTGGTATTCTTTCCAGCGACTGGAGGAGCGGCTAACTATGAGCGCTTTTGCATGCAGACGAGTATATATGTGACTCACTCTGTTTCCCCTGACTTGGGATTTTAGTTTACAACCTTCATGTTGCCCAGCTGTAGGGTTTCTAATTATATTTGTTGTAAACCGGACAGGAGGGGGCTGGATGAGTCAGCCCTGTGGGGAACTGAATGCCCACCCATGGAAGTTTGAGGAAACAATGCAAATGGGAGAGGAACAAAAAATATATATATAAATATATATATATGAAAGTATATATATATAAAGCCCCGAAGAAGGTAGGTGGTCACTGCTCAGTATCAGGACCCAGAAAATGGGAAAGGCGTTCTGCTTTGGCCCATCTCAAGAGAGAGGTTGGGCGTTGGCTCGGAGCCTCAAACCCACGAGATGAACTGAAGCTCTTGATGTCGGATCCTTGGTGCTGAGCTCTCTGGGTAAGTAAATACAGTGTTACTTCTGATTCCTAACCACTCACACAGCACTTACCACACGCTTCACCACCATGCTCATTAGCTTCCCCACATCCCCTTGACATTTGGCGATCTTTTCATATACTTCAAAGTCTTTTACTATCAAAACAGGACATGCGAAACCTCAGATCATCTCAGTGACTGCTTCCCAGGCCAGCCAGCCCATCTTGCCTCTGGTTCTGTTGGTGGCTTTTAGTTCAGTGGATGGAGCCCAAGTCTGTGAATGAATTCAATAATCTGACCTGACATCGCTTTATAAAAAAAAAAAATTCTCAGACATCTTCCAGTTTATTCTCGGGCTGGGGAAATGCAGTGACAGCCAGAGGGCAGAGTGAGGGGAGGCAGGCAGGCTTGGCAGGATGGAAAGTGTGACTCGCCTGTGTGTGTGGGTTTGGAGGCTATAAAAGGTTATGGGGGGAACCCGGGTCCTTCTATAAGCAGTGCACTAAAAATAGCAAGGACAGTGACCAGGGGATGAGCAAATTAGGCCCCATGAAATCATTGCCAGGCTGGGTTTCCCAAAAAAGGAGCCAGGTACAGGAAGGAAAGAATTCACCAGTGGCTGCACCTGGAGAAAACATGGAGTTCCAGGAACATGATGCCAGGAGCATTGGGGCAATACAGCCACCAATGGTCTCCATAGCCTACGAACAACACCTCACCCCTCGGGATGATGGTTTTCTATGGGGTCAGTCATCCTTAACGCTGCCATTCAATCTAGAACATCCCAGGGGATGTAGAGAACATAATCACCTCACTAGGCAATCACTTACGTTGCCTGGTTATCATTTCTGGTGGTTATCATCTGGGACAGGGGTCGACCACCGGTGGTCCAGGGTCCAAATCTAGCCCACTGCCTGTTTTCCAAATAAAGTTTTATTGGCACACGGCCACGGCCATTTGTTTACATACTGAATATGGCTACTCTCACACTCAAACAACAGAAGTGAGCAGTCCCACAAAGCCAAAAACACTTACTATCTAACCCTTTACAGAAAAAGCTGGCTGGCCCCTGGTGTAGAAGAACAAATCCTACTGAGTCATGTCCCCCAATGGGAGTCTGAGAGAACAAGCAAACAAGATGATAGGAAAGCAAATACACCCACTCAATCCAAGTTAGAAAGAAAAACACTTGAGATTTCTATAAGAGGTACATGTCTGGGTTGGGGCCTTAATTATAGTGTCCTTCACCTGAAAAAGGGATTTCTGTTTTTTTCTACCTCTTCACCAACTCCTACCACCTAAACAATGGCCCCTCGGCAAGTGCTTTCCCACCACTGAAGTCAAAGAGCTTGGACTCAGATTTTCCACTTAAAAACCTCAATTCCACAGAAAAGCAAAGAGCCCTTATGGCCTTAAAAGGCAAGTCCAGTTCCAGTCCACAGAGGCTAGCGCCATACAAGCAAAGGGCTGCCCACACAACCTGACAACATTAATATGCAGACCACAGAAGACTACAGCGTTAGAATACACAGGGAAGGTAGGATTCAACACCGGGCGGCCGATGGATGTTAAGTTAGAAATCAGCAGTTTTTTCTTTAGTATTTTCCACTGAAACCTCTGATAAGAGGTCTCTTAGAAGAAGAAGAAAAAAGTTTTGCATTTTAAATAGCCAGAAACATATAGGAAATGTTCTTCTTTTACATGAAAATACTGACAAACAAGGCAAGCTTCCAATAGGAGTCCTGGCTCCATAGGACCCCACAGGGACCACTCATGTCTGCTGCACTTTATGTGAAATTCATTTCTATTGCTCTGGGGGTTGCATAAGCAAACCAAAAAGGGGAACCCAGGGCAGAAATGGCTGCCAGCTGGCTATTAAAAACCTGATCAGGGCAAATAGTCAACCTGAACATGTAGTATGCTAAGATTTTCTCAAGGATTACTCATCTTTTCCCTCTCAATTGGGGGTCTTAGTTGAATAAAGCTGGGAGAATGCTGAGTCGCAGGGGCTGCCTTTTCTACAAGGGCCATCTACTCAGGAGTTAGGATTTCCTTCTTTCTTTCTTTCTTTCTTTCTTTCTTTCTTTCTTTCTTTTTCTCTCCTCTCTCTCTCTCTCTCTCTCTCTCTCTCTCTCTCTCTCTCTCTCTCTCTCTTTCTTTCTTCCTCAGGATCCTCAAATAAGTGAGGTCATACAGTATTTATTTTTCTGTCTGACTTATTTCACTTAGCATAATATCCTCAAGCTTCATCCATGGTGTTGCAAAGAGCAGAATTTCCTTCTTTTAAAAAAATATGTTTTTACCAATTTCAGAAAGGGAGAGGGAGAGAGCGATAGAGGCATCAATGATGAGAATCATTGATCAGCTACCTGCTCCCAAATGGGGATTGAACCTGGAACCCAGGCATGTGCCCTGGCCAGGAATCGTACTGTGACCTCCTGAGTCACAGGTTGATACTCAACCACTGAGCCATACCGCTGTGCCACAATTTACTTTTTTTTTGACTGAATTAATATTCTAGTGTGTGTGTGTGTGTGTGTGTGTGTGTGTGTGTGTGTGCGGAGTATCACAATTTCTTTATTTATCCATCAACAGACACTTAGACTATTTCCATGCCTCGACTATCTATATATATATATATATATAAAAGCCTAAACGACCGTCTGACCGGCCGACTGGCCAGTATGCACAATGACCACCAGGGGGCAGACGCTCAATGCACAGGCATGGAAACATGGAACAGACTGATGAATCTCAGAGGGAAGTGGGGAGAGGAGAGGGTAGGAAGAGATTATTCAAAGATCTTATATGCATACTAGAGGCCCAGTGTATGGATTTATGCACCAGGGGGTCCCTCGGCCTGGCCTGTGGGAATCGGACTGAAACTGGCTCTCCGATATCCCCTGATGGGTCCCAGATTGCGAGAGGGTGCAGGCCTGGCCAAGGGACCCCCCTGGTGCAAAAATCTGTGCACTGGGCCTCTAGTCTATATACAAAAGCCTAAGCAACTGGTCAACCGGCCAACAGTTCGACCATCCAACTGGTAGCTATGACGCACATTGACTACCGGGGACAGACGCTCAATGCAGGAGCTGCTGAGTGACAGCAACTTTGTAGAATACCCTTTCGCACTCTGGGACCCCTTGAGGGATGTTAGACTGCCGGTTTTGGCCCTATCCCCACAGGCCAGGCCAAGGGACCCCACTGGTGCACAAATCTGTGCACCAGGCCTCTTGTTATAAATAATGCTGCAATAAATATGGGGGTGCAGATACCTCATTGTGACAGTGATTCTATTCCCTTCAAATATACACCCAGAAGTAGAATTGCTAAATGATATGATAGTTCTAATTTTAATTTTTTTGAGGAACCTCCATACTGCTTCCCATAGTGGCTGTACCAATTTACATTCTCACCAACAGTGCACAAGGGTTCTCTTTTCTCCACATCCCCGCTAACACTTATCTCTTGTCTTTTTTATAAAAGCCATTCTAACAGTGTGAGATGATATCTCATGTTGGGGTTTTTTTGTAGTTCTCTCATGACTAGTAATAGTGAGAACCTTTTCATGTACTTGTTGGCAAAAATCCACAAGTGGGATCACATCAAACTAAAATGCTTCTGCGTAGCCAAAGAAACCATCAACAAAATGAAAGGGCAATCTATAGAACAGGAGAAAATATTTGCAAACCATGTGTCTGATAAGGGATTATTATCCTATCCACAATAGATAAAGAACATGTAAAACTAAATAGAAAAAAAAAAAAGTTTGACTTAAAAACAGGCAAAGGACCTGAATAGACATTTTTCCAAAGAAGATATACAAATGTCCAACAAGCTCCTTTTTCCAAGTTGGAGTCACCTCACCATACCTCTTGCTCAGAGGAATCAGTAACCTGCCCCTCTACACCTGCCCTGATCGGTCTTGATGCTGAGCACTGCTTGAGAGTGGGATGGGATCGGAGCAAGCAAGCATTGTATGCCTGCTGGGTACCTGTGGTCTAGTAAGAAAGGTGTCAATGTTTTCTCTCCTCTCTTCTGCAGATTGCATGAACAGAACTCTTCCATCCCCTGCTACAATTAAAACCTTGATAATTGTAACAAATCTGGGGTGGGGAGTGTTTAAGAGACATTAGTAAATAGTCTAAATTTTATAATTTTTCAAAAAAAAAAGTGTTCCTCCCACACTCAACATACACTTAGATACGGACTGCCAAGTCTGTCTAGTTGCCTGCCATCTATGTTAAAGAATCCTTTGTAATTAGCTTATAAAAGAAGGTACCACAACTTAAGAGAAGCTATTTTAAAACAACAACTTGGAAGTCTTATTTCCACAGGTCATGCAGATGGTAAACTGTGAATGCTGAAGTCGTATAATTCAGATGATTATGTCTCTGTCTTTTCTCCACACAGTAAAAAGCAGAAGGAAAAAAAATGAAGGGATTCTTTCCTCCCTAAACACCCATCAAAAAGAAATTCCTCCAAATAGTCCTAAATATTTTATCAAAAATCAATCAGTCACATAGCATTGACATGTCTTTCAATATTAAAATCCTTTAAATCATGCTTTCCTTCATTTTATATAGTAACTAGAGGCCTGGTGCATGAAAATTTGTGCAATCTTGGAGAGGAGTCCCTCAGCCTGGCCTGTTCCCTCTCACAGTCTGGGACCCCTTGGGGGATGTCCACCTGCTGGCTTAGGCCCACTCCCTGGGGGATTGGGCCTAAGCTGGCAGTCAGACATCCCTCTAGCAGCCCTGGACCCCTTGGGGGATATCCAATTGTGGCTTAGGCCCACTGCCCTAAGCCATAGTCAGACATCCTTAGTACTGCAGAGGAGGCAGGAGAGGCTCCCACCACTGCCACTGTGCTCACCACCCATGAGCTCGGCTTCTGGCTGAGTGGTGCTCCCCCGGTGGGAGCACACTGACCACCAGGGGACAGCTCCTGCATTAAGCGTCTACCTCCTGGTGGTGAGTGCACGTCATAGTGACCGGTCATTCCACCATTAGGGTCAATATTACCCTTTTATTATATAGGATATATGACTCTTCCTGTCTTTAATATTTGAAAATATAAATTTTATAGACATATTTGGCCTAGATGCTATTGTTTATCAGCATGGAAAGTTTGCTAAAGCTGTTAACATGGCCCATGTTATACTACAGGAGGATTTAGGACAAATGAAGGGCTCAATGGTTTTTTTTTCCCTTCAGTTTTATTCCAGTTATCAATATCTCAATGAGTCAGTCAGCTCTTCCTCTATGGTTGTTCGATTGTGATTTAGGTATCAGGTACTTTATTGCTACTCACTGTTAGTTTGGACATGTTTATGACGCTAACAGTACTCACCATAAGCTCTGGATATGTTGGCCGTTCTTTGGAATTCTTCTTCAAGCTTAAAGGAAAAAAAATTAATCACATTAAAATCTAGATATCATCTGCATTTTCACTAGCCTAGGATTTCAGAACTTGTAGAACACTAAACACAACCCACTTTAAAAACATACTGAAACCAAAGATCTCCTATCTTGACTTTCCTCTTCTATTATATTTACAAGTTATATCTTAAATCACTCCGTGTGTACCTTACGGGAAAGAACAGGTGTGTGAGTGCGTGTGCATCTGTGTGTTTACTTTCCTTTGGTACTTTACCAATGATGTATAAACTAGCTTTTCTGATCTAAAGCCATTCTATTTCAACATACACATCTACTTTCTTTCAAAACAATTTGTACTCCACCCCCACTGGCAAAGAACTTGGCAGGTGTTCCTTATATTACATCTGTTATCTCTTCCCTGTCTTCAATACCTTGTTCTCCTTGCTCCCAAACCCCTGAACATATAATTTGCTTTTATACATTCTTAGCCAACCCTGCCCAAGACAGAAGCAATACTCCCAATAAAATGTCTAAGGCAGTGGTTCTCAACTTTCCTAATGCCGTGACCCTTTAATACAGGTCCTCATGTTGTGGTGACCCCCAACCATAAAATTATTTTCGTTGCTACTTCATAACTGTAATGTTGCTACTGTTATGAATCGTAATGTAAATATCTGATCTGCAGGATGTATTTGCATTGTTACAAATTGAACATAATTAAAACATAGTGATTCATCACAAAAACAATATGTAATTATATATGTGTTTTCCGATGGTCTTAGGCGACCCCTGTGAAAGGGTCATTCGACCCCCAAAGGGGTCGCGACCCACAGGTTGAGAACCGCTGGTCTAAGGTAACGGTGCTTGTTTCCAACCTCTTTGCATGCCCTGAAAGAGAAAGTCACGGCTAGTGACTTAGCAATTTCTCTTCTTACAATACTTTGTGGTCATGCGCTCCTATCACTTAGCTGATACAGACACAGACATTTTAATAACATTGGATAAAACTGCCATCTGAAGAGACCTACCCCTGAATCCATCCCCAGCCTTACAATGGGAAAAAATAAAATAAAATAAGTGGTTTATTTGGAGTTGGAATCCCAGGTTACAGAATGGAGAAAAGGATGATTTCAAAAACTGATTTGCCAGGCAACCTACACACTGCCCTTGCCCATTTGGCCACAAAATCGTACACGGATGGAGAGGAACGTGGCCTGGTGCTGGAGGCGGCTGGGACCTGTGTTCATGGATCACTCTGAGCACATGAGACCCAGGGTGAGCGCTGCTCCAGACACGGAGCCCAACAATGAGGAGGGGATGGGAGCAGGTACAGGGCCATAGGAGAGCGGAGTAGTTGAGACGCTTTGAGAAACTGTGGCTTAAAACAAAACGAAATGAAGGAAAAGAGGAAGCTTTTGAACCGAGACAACTTAAAGCAGCCTACCAGTTTATTCCGGGCCATGCTGTGGGTAGAAGCCAGGGAACCTGGGACAGGGTACAGGTAGATGTGAGGAGAGAAGTTTCAGTCTGGAACTGAGGGCTGATCTAGGACCTAGCGACCCCAGTGACCAGACCACCTATGAGAGAAAGTTTCATCTCAACGGAGGATACAGGTAAGAGGGGATTAGAAAGAGGAATTATCAACGGCGGAGGTGGGCTGACATGGGAAGTTGTGCCTGGATGGGATGAATGAGGCCTTGTCACCCCCACTCACGCCTCTGCGTGTCCCTGTCTCCTGAGATTCCACAACGGCAGAGATCCATTTGGTAATGAACTTACCATCTCTTTTCTTTTCGGGTAGAAGAACTTAAAATTTCCGTTTTTTAGGGAGAGGTAATTTTAAGTCAGGAAGAGTGTAAGAAAATTTCTCCAGTATTTTTCTTTTAATCTGTATAAAGAAAATGTGGGCAACTCTCCCAAGTGGATCCGTCGTAATGGGTTAAGGACTCCTGAAATCTCAGAGATTGCCCGTCAGCAGGCTAGGTCTCAACTTACAGCCACTAATCAGGAAGCTCAAAATTTACCGTGAGCACCACGGCAGCGTTGACAGAAAGTATGTACACAGCAAACCAGGGCTGTTTATTGCATTAATGTAGCCGACAGAACCCACTCTACCTTCCAAATTGAGAACACGTCAAAACATGTCCTCGGAATCGCACAATCCTCAGCGTCAGGTTAGGGGGAAAGGCGCTTCCGTGTTCAATAGGAAGTGCTTGGAATTCGGTATAAAATAACAACGGCGGAGCTCAAAGCGACACTGATTTCTTTTGGATCTGAGTCAAGACATTTGAATTTTCAAGTGGCTTGTCATTTTCAAGCGTGCAATTAGCTCACAGCCCTAATTCCTCGTCCAAATGCCACAGCACACACTCCTGACCGTGGCCAACACTGAAAGGCAGCTTCATGCTCTCTTGAGGATCGCTAGGCTCGAGTTTGTGCTGACCGGAGGATTTCTGTCTGCTTGAATCTGCCCTGCCCCCCCCCCCCGCCCGCACTCCTCCCCCCCCCGCACCCCCACCCCCTCCATCGTTTCCAAGAAGGCTAAGCAGTACATCCACAAAATAAACACACACACTGCCTTCCAAGCCATACATATGTCATCAGCTAAATACATAGCCAGTGCCTCTTTTACTGTCCTTCCTGAACAAGTTGGGAACTATATTTGCTTGTCTCTGTTTTATACTAGTTCCTCTGAGTCAGACAGTGTCAATGTCCGGGTGGGCCTCCAACACACGACAACGTGCCCCCAGGCGGGTCAGCTGGGCAGAGCCTCTTCCACTGGCCTGAAGGGAGAGCAGAACCGAAGGCACGCTGCTCTGGCGTTCTGGGGGGGGGGGGGGGGGGTCTCTCCAGTGACCTCCATCAGTCCCCAAGCCTGGAGACTATAGGAAGGGGCTGTGGTGAACAATGTGAGCCTGTGAGGATCCCGTTGCCTGGAGAGACCCATTTGTTTAGCCTTCTGCTGGGCTAGACCGCATGGCTTCTCAATCAGACTTCTCTGGGATGAAACCCCCAACGAGGCATCCATGGTCGGCATGACTCACACCAGGAACCCTTTAAAACCCCTGTGATAGGAAAGCCCCATGGGGGGGGCAGGTGCGGGGAAGGAGAAGACAACCCCATTCAGTAGTCCCTATTTCAAAGTAAGTACACCAAGGAAGGGTTGGACGTTTATTGTGGTTTTTTCCTTCAAGTTCACGAGGAATAAATGCTATAACGTTTTCTTTCCTCCACACCTTCCCTCAAGATTATGTTTCTCTGATGTTATTGCAAAAGAAATCAAGCAGCTGGATCTCTGGGCTCTAGAGCTAACTCGCCTGCGAGTGCTTCCTACTCTGCCCCACACACCACACGAACTGACACCCACATATTCAATCCGAGGACAGTGGCTTCCAAGTGGATCCCCTGGATGAAGCTGTATGGAACGGAGCACCACTATGATGTCATCGAATGCTTAGGGAGGACGCCTCTCACGAGAGCTCATGAATCCTCTGATGGAGAACTAGGCTGTGAGCAATATACCCCTTTTCTTCTAGGTCAACGGTTAGTCCAGATGTTGGCGCCAAAAGCATAGATATATCCATCTCGAAATTGGATATTAAATCCTTCACTTTCCAAATCTGGAGTCCCCGTCCTCACTTACAATAAAGAGTTGGGGCTTTTTGAGATGTGTTGAAGAATCAAGGCCTAGGTCATAAAAAATATTAAAAAATCCATGGCGATCACTCCAAAAAGGGTCCTTTCATGAAGGTGTGTCTCAAAAACACAGTTTTCTATGTAGGAAAATGGAGAACCCACCATAAAAGGGAGCTGCCCTCAGAGGTTGTGTCCTTCTCTCCATCGTGGAAAAGAAGAGGTGCCCTTAGGTTATGATAATTTTCTCACTCTTTCCACCCGGCTCCAGATCAAACTTAGAACTCTCAGTGCTAACACAAGTGAAACAATTAGACTGCCATGAGGGGAGGTAGGCATTTGTGTGCTAATACATACAAAAAAATTAAAATGCTTCCGCAAAGATCTGAGTCATTCGTAAAATCATTCTGCCAAAACACAGACAGACAACGGCAGGCTACCCTCAGACCTCAAGGGTGGCATGGGGCTAGAGCTAACCAAAAGTCCAAGAGGCCTCAATTTCACCAGCGACAGGCAGTTGGTTTGTCTCAGGATGTTTCCCAATAAAAGCTGTATTCAGAACGCTTCCTCCAAAGAACATGGAGGCCAAGGGGCATGAAGACGCTGTACCTTTCCCAGCCCCTTCCTCAGCAGCAAGTGGCCAGCACTGATCCTCTCCAAGGCCCCTTCTCTGATGTCCCCCGCCCCCCAATTCTTCCCTGCTTCTGCAGGATGCCCAGATAAGCTCACTTGGCTCCATTCTGTGCTTTCCTTTTGCATCCCTTCCCAGCATCCCTCACAAAGGTCATTAGCATCCAAGTACATTAGGCACCATGGTCCCTATGCAAACAGAAACCATGAGATTTTTCTGGAGAAAACCGCTCCCTCTCCTACTTTCCTCCATTCCGCTGGCAATGTTGATGCAAAGTTTACAGCATCCGTATGGCTCCTTTCATCGTTCCACTCCAACCATCTTTGCATTCCCTTCTCAGACCCCTAATGCTGTCTGTCATACCACCGAGGCATGTAGAGCCAGTTAGCAAGTATTCTGTAGGAGACAGCCTACCAAACACTGAAAGTGTTTTCAAGACTTCCAGGTACCTGAGTAACACTCTGAAACTAGCCACTGCCTTCTCATCCAAGGTAATCCTTTGCATCTGACCTCCTGCCCACCCCTGAATCTCCAATGGGTCCCACCATCTTTCTCTTTATGTCCTAATCAACATCCAATTGCTTAGCCCTCTCATAACAGAGTTTTTCCCTTTTATGCCATGAGGCACGAGGTTTCTCCTGCTTGGAATACCCTTCCCTCCCCTCCTTGCCTTTCACTTGGACATCCCGTCATGTGGTGTCAGCTCAGGATTTACCTCCTCCAGAAACGCCACCCCAACGCCTTTTCTCTGAGCTCCCCAAATACTCTAGAAATATCTCCACCCCTGGGCCTGCCACAGCCTGAGCTCAGTGAGGACAGGGGCTGGATGGAGGCATCTCTGTTGCTCCAGCTCCGAGGGCTCACTCCACAAATGCGCTGGAATGAATGCATGCGTGATGGACTAGACCCGATGGAGGAACTTCTCAGAACGCCTGCTCTTCCTGCGCCCGGGCACCTGGGAGACGGGTTTTCTTACCACTGCGAGGTAAAGTCGACAAACTCTTCGGAGAACTTGTCTGCGGGCAGCTGTGGTGACGGCTCCTCCACCACCTGTTTGAGCTGCTGGAAAGGAGTTCCCCATGAATCGTAGGGAAACCGAAGGATGGCCAACTCAATCTGGGGGGAGAGGAGAAAAGGAGATGACGCTGAAATCGGGGTCCCCTACGGAATCCGCTGTGTCTTCCCCCAGGAGAACCAGGGGGGAGAAACCATGGGGAAGTTCCAGTACAATTTTAGGAGAAAAGAAACTAATCATAAGTTCTCTAGCAAATTCCCCCCCCCGCCCCCTCCCCCCGCCCCCGCAGATTTCCTAGTGCTAAGGATGGTCAAATATAATCTTCCTAAGCCTGTTTAAAACCGGGTCCTCCCCCTAACCCACGGTGGCCCTTTAAAGTGACAGGCCGCAGTCTTACACTTCGCGATTTAAAGCAACCGAGTTTTCCACCTTTCAGTCCAAAAAGTGATTCTGGGCCCTAAGACTTTTAGAGCTGTGTACATCTGCTGCCACCTGCAGGTCCCTCCCGGGAACGAAACAAAAACAACGGAGGACCCAAGGACTGATCTTTTTTTGGACTTGAATAAAGGCCGCTTTGCTGTCATAGATCACATGTTTGCTGGGCAGGGACGTGAAGTAACTCTCGGATTAAACAGCTGCTGCGCCTGGGAAGGAGCCAGGAGCGCCGTGGAGAACTCAGGCCCTGGCCGTACAGTGAGCATCACTAAAGTCAGTCACCAGGCACTGATCGGAGAACTTCAGGGCTGAGCCTCCGAAACCACACTATTTTATCATGTCTTTTCCCTGCACCTGACCTCGGCAGCCAAGACGTCTATCGTAGCCAGATTCGGAGATGCACACGTCCTGGATGACACGGTTCTTACAGGGTCCACACGCACTGTCACTTTTTTGAGTGGCTTAAGCTTCCCTGACCCTTGGTGAGAATAATTTAATTTTAAGAAAACTACCGGGAGCTGTCGTCGGACCCTCTCGTTTTACCGATGAGAACAGTTCGACAGTCCATCACCTACGCAAGGGCAGACGGCTCCTGAGAGGTGGAATAGAGAGCACAACAGGGTCGGCCCAATCCCAGCTCTGCATTTCTCCTGCACCTACTGCAAGCCACTGCCGCTCAGAACCCCCTGCCATCTCAGGCACAAAGGATGCCCGAGACCGGCACAGAGGACGTCTGCCCAGAACCTCATCGCCCACGACGGTTATCATGCGTTACCATGGTGATGCCCAGGCTCCAAATGTCAGACTTCACACTGTAGCCCTTCTGGTTGAGCTCCGGGTTTATCCTTTCCGGCTGGAGAGGAGACAGAAAAAGACAGAGGTGGCATTCTTAGCTCAGTCAAGTCTCTGGGGGTGAGGGCAGCACCCGTTGCCAAGTGAGTTGTCTGAAGCTGTCAACGCTGCCTCCCAGGCCAAGCAGGCTCACCAGCGACAATAAATATCAATGCCGCCACAGCTCCTGCCCTCATTCTACATTAGTCTTCTTCTTGGAGACAAGAATAAATTACAGTCCCCCTCACAATTCAAAACTGGTTTTCATTTTCCTTCAGAAGAAACGGGATATCAAGCTGCTTTGCCAGTCTAGACTGTTCCTTGTTAAAAACACCAACAGTCCAGCCCAGCCGGTGTGGCACAGTGACTGAGCTTGGAGCGATGAACCAGAAGGTCATAGTTCGATTCCCGATCAGGGCACTTGCCTGGGTTGCGGGCTCGATCCCCAGTGGGGGGCGTGCAGGAAGCAGCCCATCACTGATTCTCTCTCATCACTGATGTTTCTCTCTCTCTCTCTCCCTCTCCCTTCCTCTCTGAAATAAATAAAATATATATTGTTTTAAAAAAAGAAAGGAAAAACCTAAAAAAAAAAAAAAAAAAAACCTCACAGAAAACACCAACAGTCTAACAGTCCAGAACTCAGTGAAAAAAAAATTAGTAAGAGTCCCTGGGCTACTGTCTGGTGTTAAACTGACCCACTTGTAGTTAAACAGGGACAAGAGGTTTTTAAATTCCAAACACAAAGTCCATTTCAACATTGAACACAGTAGGAGTCCTATAAGTTAAAGGGGACCCCCAGGTCTCTGCTGAGGGCAGTGAATCCTCACAGCTTTGAGTTTCTCCCAGACTAACCTGAATGATTCACTTAGGTCATTTAAATTCTTTTTACTGTTTTGTTTTTAACAAACAAGGAGACACGCCCTTGTGACTCAGGGTGGGAAAATGTGTGGGCTGCATGCATTATTTACGTTTTTCAAACAATATATCTTTTTATTTGTTTGTTTTTGTTTCAAACAATATACCTTTTGCTTGATTTATATATATATATATATATATATATATATATATATATATATATATATATAGATGAAGCAAGTGACTGAGGATTTCAGACAGGAAATGTTTAAGAAAAAAAAGAAGATGCAGAATATTTCTTGGGTCTTAGTTACATTTCCATTTCCCCTCCTATAGCCATCCAATTCCTATTTCCTGGCGCGGTTCGCATTCTGACGCCACCCCCAGCCCTGGACTTACAGCCATGTACGGTTTGCATCCAGCATCGATAGTTTTAGCCACCGAGTCCACAAGGTAGCCACTGATGCCAAAGTCGCACATCTTCACTTGGCCCAGAGCATTGATGAGCACGTTGGAAGGCTTGACGTCTGAAAGCAAGAACAAGGAGAGGCGTCATCCCAGCCTGCTCTGAGGATGCATCGCCCCTATCTACCACCAGAGGGCCTGAAATCTCCATTTCTCCTCAGCTTCCTTTCCCCATGGCCAACACAAGAGTAAATGCCACCCGACTCACGGGCATACTTCTTATTACTTTCAACTTGATTTCTATTTCATGGGTTGTCTTTCTTGTAGGACTGTGTGAAGCCACCAATGGATAAGAACTGTTTCATCAAAAAAAAAAGAAGGAAAGGAAGGAAGGGAAGGGAAGGGAAGGGGAGGGGAGGGAAGGGGAGGGAAGGAAAGCCTAGACAGCATGGCTCAATGGTTGAGCATTGACCTATAAACCAGGAGGTCACAGTTCGATTCCCAGTCAGGGCACATGCAGGAGGCAGCCAATCAATGATTCTCATCACTGATGTTTCTATCTCTCTTTCTCTCCCTTCCTCTCTGAAATTAATAAAAATATATGTATTTTTAAAAGGAATTGTTTCTTCTATTTTATCCTCTTTATTCTCCCCAACACCCATCATATAGTAAGAATTTGACAAATTATTACTGAATCAAGCGCCCAATTCCATGGGCATAGTCTGAATTATTCGATCTGAATAAATCCTAGAGACCAGCTGGACACCGTTGTAATGAGCAACACTATACAGTACACTTAAAACTCTCTTATGACGGGAGATCTCACGTGAAGTGTTCTTATGACAATGACAAAATTTTTAAAAGCCCAGTTTCGAATGATCTACTGCACAATTAGCGCAGGAATAATAGCCCATGGAATGAAGGGCACACTGTGACGTAACAATATACCAAATACAATAAACCCAACCAGTGTTGGTTGAAGCACCTTTAAGAAGTGTGTCAGAGGTCATGGAGTGGAACTCATCATGAACTCAGATATTCCTGAGTCCACGAGGCAGGTCACAGAATATACATGTGAATGGAGGAGTATTGCTAAATCCTTAAGTTGGGAAAGATATGGCACCTGCCCAAGTAGATGAACCGCTGTTATCTCTGGATAATGGAATTAAAAATTATAGTGCATTGTTCCCCTGGGACACTATTCACAAAGTCCATGTAATCAGAAAAAAAAAGTTATTCTAAAAACTTTTACAATTGTGCTTTATAATTCCCCCTTGAATGGAATGGCAGGCATGCATTTCATTTCCTTATTGTTTAATTGTATATACATTCTCTCATATGATGAAATATTTCATCATTTTAAAATAAACCGTTATCAATTGGGTTCACATTTGTTGGTAAGCCACATTTTTCTTCCTATCTGGACTCTGTCCCACTTCTTCTCCTCCTCTTCCTCCTTCTGATTTTTCCAGTTTTTAAGAATAACAATGGCAATAGGCATCCTTTGGAGGCATTTCACATTATTTTCTGTCTCAGAGAACATAAAAATTACCAAATTCAATACCTTATTAGCTATCAATACTTTCCATTAATTTTTCCAAAAACCTGGTTGAACAAATCATGTCCTTGTTTTATATTCTACCTATACTAATTCCCTACTTGGTACTTGCATATTTCTCATGTGCTTTCATGGGTTTGTTGTATATCTGCTTATTTCCCTATCAAGAATTCCTATGTAGAACATTAATAAGAATAGATTTTCTTCTCAGATACCTCTCAGGGGGTCTATTACAGGGCTGTAAAAATATAGTGCTGCATACTGCTGGTGAAATGAGTATTAGAGAGAAGTGGGTAGATATGTGGATTGAGGAAAGATGGAAGAATGGATATATGGGTGGGTGGATGGATAAAGAGATAACAGGAAGGAAAAGGGGAAGGAGGGAAAGAAAGAAGAGACACATCTACCACTGTTCTCATTTTATCCTGCCTCCTGGAGTCTGAAAAGGCTATGCTTTAGACCACACCTTTTCACTCCTGAATGTGCACAGAAATTACATCTGGTTAAAACGTAGTCAGTTGGTCTTGTGACCCACGGTTCTACTTTCTAACAAGCTCCCAGGTGACGGCCAGGCTGAATAAATTTTTACCCTATTCTCTGGAACTGTCCATCGGGTGATCCCACAGCTCTGCTTGGTAACAGGTATTTTATATTTGACTAAGGTGTAATGTACAGCCCATGCCTTCTGATGCCCTTGGATAAGATAAAGAACAGCCACTTGTAGGGTTTGCGATCCAGTCCCAAGGGAAAACCCTGCAATGCTCTTGCCTGACTCAATCCCACTCCCATCCATTGTGGCGGAGAACTCAAGTCAAAGACCCAAACTCTAGGAGAGGAACAGCCAGGGCAGCCCCAGGATGCTTACCTCGATGGATGACAGAGAGCTTACTGTGCAAATGCTCTAATGCTTTAACAATCTGCAAGAGAAACACAGGATAGATTGATGTCCCCCATCCCTGGAAAGAAATCGAATGATAAGCATATCCAGGTTGATTATCCCTGCCTTAAGGTCACGAGGTGAAGTATTTTCTCAGAGAGTGGTGGCCCTTTTCAGAAAAATGCACAGGAAGTTACACGAACTACTAGACTCTACCAACGAGAGAGGACTCTATCCTATAGCAGAGTGTATGTCTCACTCCTGTATCTTGGTTTTCATTTGGTCTCCAGCATTTTTTTTTTCTCGCCACCCTCCTTAACCTCAATAGCTTTTAAGGGCAAACACCTTCCTTCCATTTCATTTTTTTTCTGCTTCCTTCTATGCTTATGAGTCCTATGAAAATGTGTAATAATCTACAAATAAAAATTAAATGATGTCAGAATATAGACACCAGGAATGCAGTCATAGCAGATGAAGGCACAACTGAGAGGCACTTGAACTGAGAGTTTACCACACTGAGCCAGAGGTCAGATTTGCTGCAGTGCTCAGAGAGAAAAGCATTCATCTCTCCATCCTCAGGTACACTCTTGCATTCAACATGTACTGGATGGCTCTACGGTAGCATGTCCTCATACTGGGGACACACAGACACAGGAGACCTAGACGTCTCACGCTCTCTTTGTAGGATCCATTGTGTACTCACAGAAACTGCTATTTTCCCTAAGATGTCCTCTGGAATGGTTTGGCCTTTATCAATCACTTGTTTGTAGAATTTATCTAGCGACGTATCCATGAGCTCCATGCAGATCCAAACATCACCCTAGAGAACAATGGGTTCAGAGATGGTTAGAGAGGATGGAAATGGGAAAAAGAGAGAACAGTGCACACCTGTCAGGAAGAACTACTTCTTGCCTGAGTTTTCAAAGGAAATGGACAGTTTCTCTTCAAAATCTCAGGAATTCATTAAACAAGCAAGATGATCTCCAAAGAGCAAGCTAGCAGACACCCAAGCAGAACTGGCATGTGATCACCTACGCCTTAGTGAAAACTAGCATCAAAATACTCAGAGAGACAAGCAGCAGAATGCCCCAAAGCCAAGCCTTTACTGGGACTGCCCCTAGGAGTTAGGTCTAGAAGCCTGTTCCATGGCTGACCTCCCGTGTGGAGCATTGGCCATAGCCAATCAAAGGGCTGGTTTGAACAGTGAGGTTGAAGCATTGTAAACACAGAGGTAGAGCAAAGAGAGAAATATAAGTCTATATGGTACAAAAGCAGGCTACATAAAACGTAGCAAGGAGCCAAAGGACCAGAACATTTCAGACATTTTTTAACATTTATTTAATTTATTGATTTATTTGAGAGAGAGAGAGAGAGATTTGTTGTTCCATTTATTTATGTATTCATTGGTTGATTCTTATATGTTTCCTGACCAGGGATCAAACCCGCAACCTTGACATATCGGATGACACTCTAATCAACTGAGCCACCCGGCCAGGGCAGAATATTTCATATTTTAAGGGCTCTATCCAAATCGATCGACAATTGAAATAGACAGTTCTGCCAAAAGACAAAGCAAAACAGAGAGGAGAAAGAGCCACAGCGCCTTGAACAGGGCTCCACACATCTGAAAATACCATCATCTCCGCCATCTTTGCACCGGGGCATTGTGCTATGGATGCAAAGCCCAAGACTCTAGGAGACCTGTCCACCCAGAAAGAGGACCACGATGGTGCACGGCATTTATGTGGTCAGAGGCACTTCTTCGTGAGTGACTGTCCCCCTCAACTTTGAACTGAAGGGTCACTTACCTCCCGGAAGAGCGCGCCGTAAAAGGTGACCGTAAAGGGACAGTCCACTGTCCTCATGGAGACATCCAGGTCCATCAGTAGCCTTTTCTGCTCCTGGCTGTTCACGGTGGCCCGGATCCGCTGAGTGGGAATGCATGGTAAAATGCAGGGTTACTGCTCTGAGGGTGAAGCAGGGACCTTAAAAGAGTCCCTTCCTGAAAATAGTACACAAAGCCACGGCACAACTTCTAGCAACAACCCTTTGAACAGCCACCCTAAGTGATTGGTTATTTGTAACAAAAGAAAAATAAGGAAGATTGTTATTCATTTGATTTCCCAAATAACCCCTGGTTCAAAAAAAAACACCAAAAAAAAAAAACCACCCCCAAACAACTGATAATATATTTTGGAAAATGTTCAGATGTTTGGAAATGTATTTCCAAATTACAAAAACAGTCTGGTTTATCGTATTATGTCTGTTCAGTGCAAAGAGGCCACAGTAGGAATTACTCTGGCTGAATCGGAGTCCTTCAATAAAGGCCAAAAGCCCCACTTTGGAAACAAGTAAGAATCGTTGGACTCAGCAGCAGCTGTAAGAGAACTGATACAGCTGTGGGAAATAGAAGGGACCAAACAGAAACGGAGAAATCCTTCGTTCACATCCCGGTGCTTGTGGGAGAAGAGAAACCTCGCACATCAGCAAACAGGGCCTTACAGAAATACGATTACTTCACTAAATCGCAGGAACAATACTTCACGAGGCATTCACATTTTCTGCCTACTTAGCAAAGAGTCTGCAGGAGAACAAACTGAAAAATCTACAAGGTAAGGAAAAGGTATCTCCATTCTCCAAAAACAAAGGGATCCAAGTCATCTGACCACCCACACTCCTCACGATGGCCCAAATCTATTAGTTCATCTAGAGATGGTGATTTGCCAAGGTCCTCCCAGCATCCACTCAAGAAATATGCAATGATTATACATTTCTTTTTATAGGGCAGAAACTATGCAAATTCACTCAAGATGTATTTTACCCTCCCTTTCTTCCACAAGTGGAGACAATTTTCCTCCCTCAGTTCTGGTTTCCTGGTTTTTTAGGGACACTTCTTTAAAAGAAATAGCATGTAGAGTAAAAGAGACTTTTGAGACATAACAACCAAATGCAATATGTGAACATTTGTTTGGATTCTATTTAGAAGAACCAACAGTGGGACAAAAAAAAACAAAACAAAAAGACACCTACAAGACAATCAAGGTAATCTTAATTTAGAGCTGGTAATAGGTGATATTAAGGAAGTATTTTCTACACATTTGGAGGGCAATCTGTTCCCTGCAAGTACTATTTTCTGCTCCACCCTTTAAAGATTGTTTTGCTTCTATGAAGAAAGCTGATTTGCACTGGGGATGGACAAATGTACACACCGCAGACAGAAAATGTTTGGGGAACGTCAACTCTACCTTCACTGCCATGATCTGCCCGCTGGGCACATGTCTCATCTTCTCCACCACTCCGTACGCACCTCGGCCCAGCTCCATGATAGGCTCCAGGTCATCTGCCTTCACCTCAAAGTTCTGCAGGAGAGAAAAAGAATGCAATAAGACAGAGAAAAATAAACTTAACAGTAGACTACCCTGTCCTCTCTCTGGTTTCTCCCAACATTCTAAGGGTTATTGCTGGTCCAGAAGCTTTTTCAAGCAGCCACTGAAAGTAAGAAGCACTGGAAGATGTTTAGACTCCCAAAGCATGTCACTTGCCTGTCACAGGTGATATAGAGATCCAACTCTAATTTAGCTTCCAAATTGCTCCGTTTAAGCTGTCTACACTAGGGTTTGTCAGCCATGCCTCCTTAAATACATGTGTATGTGCTGACTGATGGCAACTAGGTCTGTGCTTGGACTTTGAGAAATACTCCCTCCCCACAGAGAATCATCTACTCTCTTCAACTGCCTTCCATCAAGACCACAACAGCCTGATTTCAACTCGACATTCAAAAATATCAAGCCCAGCCAGCATGGCTCAGTGGTTGAGCGGCGACCTATGAACCAGGAGGTCGCGGTACGATTCCAGTTAGGGCACATGCCTGGGTTGTGGGCTCAATCCCCAGTGTGGGGTGTGCAGAAGGCATCAATGATTCTCTCTCGTCATTGATGTTTCTATCGCTCTCTCTCCTCCCTTCCTCTCTGAAATCAATAAAAATATATTTAAATATACATTTGTTTAAATAACTATATATTTACCTTATCTTGAAGTTTTTTATCAAGAGTTCCACATACTACTTCTTTTTAAATTCAAACTTTCTGATCTATCCCATGACAAAATATTACAGAAAATATTTTTCAATGAGACACGACTTTTCTCACCTGGTTTCCGATAGAAATGCAAGCTTTGGAGTCTAAATCTCGAGGCGGCCTAAGGAAAACAAGGTGGGGAGGGGGAAAACATGAGCGTTTAGTCAAAAATATCCTTTCCAAATCAAATGCGATTGGAAAGATTTTTCCTTAGAAATCAGGAGGAAGTCTATGAGTAACATAAAGCAGCATACACATGTTCACAGTGTGGGATTTGGAATAAAATACATCTGGGTTTAAATCATTTAATCTCTTGGAGCTTCCATTTCTTCTTTAAGGTGAGGATATTGGTATACCTACCTCATAGAGTAGGAGTATCAAATACTTACCTCAAAGAGAGTAAGAGTACCCAGTAAAGTGCTTAGCAGAATGCCTAACATACAGTAAATATCCAACAAATAGGAGCCACATGAGTATAGTTATATAATTACATTATTCCAGGTCGCCTCAAACTTTGTTTTCATCCTATATTTACTGTGCCCAGTGACCCCCCCCTACTTTTTCCACAACTGTTTAAAAAAAAACAAACCAACAACAATAATGGCAAAAATGGTTAACTCACAAAATTCACAGACCATAAGAATTCAAAATCTATCTGGTCCCTGCCTTTATAAATGGGGGAGAAAAGGTTTGGAGAGGTGAAATGACTTGTCCAAGGTCACAACAAACCCAGGCCCCCTGATTTCCAGGTCAGGAGACCTTCTCTTCTATCAGGCTGCCTAATTCAGTCGTGACAGTTCTTCTCTACAGAGTGCACATACCATCCAAGGCTCAGCCCAGCAGCCTGAGGCCTGCTGAATTCATGTCTCCGTAAGACAGAGCACGGCCGTGTGTTTATTTCTACTACTTCACTGCTGCCTGGACTGATATCAAGCCACTTAAGAGAAAGATGTTTGGCTTTGGCTCTGCTCCTAACGAGGAGCTCAGAAAAGCATTTCCCTGAAATAAATGCACCGAAAACATCACGACACAAATCGTATGTGCCAGGAAACATACTGTTAATATGGCCAAATAATAGAGCAACTGAGGGGCGTCCATGCCAGTGCTGTCTCTAGAAAAACACCAGGCGGGATGGAAGGCAGGACAGAGGAAAGGAAGAGAGAACTTTGCCAATGATAACTTTTCCCAACCCTAATGGATTATAATTCTACCCCTTCTGCTGCAACTAAAGAAAGGAAACAATGAGGGAAACATAGGAATATAAACACAGATATAAACATGAGTCTTGGGCTTTCTTGGTAAGCCTTCTCTCACCTCAAAATCCCTTTGAAATGCACAGAATACCTAAAATAAGTTTTCCTAGACAAACTGAAAACCAGGGCCTGGGAGGGAGGGAGGGAGAGCACGGAAAACACACATGCACACACACACACATGCACATGCAGACACTCCCAGTGATGTTTTTATATATGTTGTGTGTCTGAACAGGGAATGTTTCTTGAGAAACACGTGTCCAGGGGAATTAAATTAGTAAAAATCTGAGTTCTCATTCTTAAGCTTTCCAAAGCTATTTTTCTTCAGCTGTCACTATTTGTGCATCCTAAAAGAAGTGGAACTTTGATATAAAGACAAATATTACTTGAAACGTGTGACTAGTATAAATAATAAAGAAAACCTTTGCAATTGTTCAGTATTCTTCCTTTTAAAAGCAACAGAAAGGGCTGCCTCCGCTTTCTTGTTATCCAGTGAGGGTACTGGGTGAGCCCTCTTCCAGGTCTGCTTGTCCGGGATTCACACCAGGGCTCTGCAAAGCACAGCCTGTGGCCCAGCTAAGAGCGACTTTTACAAGTTAAAGGTTATAAAAATACAAACAACGAAGAATAACCGACAGAGGTCACTGTGGCCCAGAGAGCCTAAAATATTTGCTCTCTGGCCTTTTGCAAAAAATGTTGCTGACTGCAGCTTTATACTAACTGCATCATAGCTCTCCTGATGAGGAGGCTTTTGTGCCATTTTTCAGGCTGAGGAAAATGAAGTGCAGAGAAACTGCTGAAGCCACAGTCCTCAACAGAGCTGCAAATAAAACTAGCATCACCTGACTCTAGGTCTCGACCTGAGGAGGAAAGGATATATGCTGAATACTGGGTTAGGTGCTTTACCTGCAACTCATGAATTACTTAACCCCCCCTCTCTCTCCCCTCTCCCCTCCCTCCCCCCCACACACTCTCACACATACACCCTTTCCTATGAGTACCATTATTCCCAGTTCCAAATGAGTTTAGCTAACCTGCTCCCATGTGGTGAACCCAGAATTCTAATCCAAGTCTGACTGAGCCCACGGAGCCTGCTCTCAACACTCTGGCTTCCCCTAATGAAAATGATCAATCCGCCCATGCCCCAGGCCGCAGGGCTCAGCAGGTTTGCCAAAAGCATCAAAGGACGGGGCCAAGACTGACAGATGGGATTGGGTTAGCTGACACTGTATCCTGTCCAAGGCTGGGCACGTAAGTTTGCCTGGGGCGCGGAGTCTCTGGGTAGGAGGTTTATACTGTGGGTGGATGTTTTCTGTCACTTTTTCAATATTTTCGTCCGCTGGGGAAAGAACCAAGCCTGTGACACCATTCCTTCCCTGGAAGGTATTCCAAAGGGCACCCAGTGTTAGTATTTTATATGAATAACCAGCTTTGGTGTATGAGGATTATTTATTTATAAAAACTGCATGAGCAATCAGCTCACTGGTTATTGTTACAAGTCTTCTTCTTCTATCCAACATTAGAGAACTGACATTGAAACAGAGGAAGTAATTTAAGGCCTTTCTAAGAGATGGCGAGATTAGAACCCAGAGCTGTACCATGAAATCTTCTCAACTTCCCTCATTCATAGCTGGAGACTGTCTGGCCACAGTCTCTACCCGTCTAATCTGTGGCTAACAGGACATACCTGAGAGCCAGAGAGCCCTGAATTTGCATCCAGTTCTCCCATGTGATAATAGTGCTGTGATAATAATCACAGCAACTTGTGGTGCTACCTTCACTGAGAAATGACAATGGGGACAGGCTCTAGGATACATAATATGGATTATGATATCTCATCTTCACAGCAACCACATCGTTGTTTATTCCTGTTTTTTCCAGAAGGGGAAACTAAGTCTTAGAAGGGTTAAGTAACTTGTCTAAGGTATTCAACTTGTGCAGTTTAGATCCCAACTACAAACCTTGGCATTCTAGCCCCAGAGCCTGAAGTCTTACCCACAAAGCTATGCTCAACTGCTTTTGAGCAAGACACCTGACCCTTTTACAGGTCTGTTTTCTGACTTATAACGGGAGAGTTTCTTGTGAGGGCTAAGTGAAAGGGCGCTGACTGGCACCGAACCGACGTAGAATTAGTTGCTGCCAATCAAGTGAGGGGACAGCTTGGAAACCTAAGTCAAAGACACATTGGCATCAGTTACTGAAAGAAAAGGCTCAAGCAGAGGGACCACACACATGGAACTGAAGAGAATGGAGCTCTGTCCCGCGCTATTTATTTCTGTGTAGCACAGCAGAAAGAGGCAGGGTATAAATGCTAAGAGTCACCAAGCCAACCTCAGATAATTGCCAAGGAAAATTCAAAGTGTGGAAGCCACTTCTTTAGGAGTAAAACTTTAAGCCTCAGTATTAAAATAACAATTATAATAATAAGGCTTTCCATGAGCAAAAGTGGTATATTCTACAATAATGCTTTACACAGTGAAATAGGAAAGTATTTTCAAGGTTTATTCTACCCCTTGGGGGAAACACAACACAGAAACTATTTTTATCTTTGCATGGGTTTTTATTCATTTGTTTGTATGAAGGAAGGATTTATGGTGGTTTTCAAATTTTTATGAACTATAGAAAATTAATGCAAATTAGAAGGTGAAGTTTAAAAATTTTAAAGGGAAGTAATATAAGACAGTTGAGAGACTGATGAAAGAATATACCCCAAAGGAAAAATAAAGAGCAGAAATCAATAAAAATGAAAACAGGAAAATAAATAAAGTTGTTTTTTAAAAAAAAATCAATAAAATTAATAAAACTCCAGCAAGACTGACACAGAAAAGAGACAAGACAGACACAAATTACTACTATCAGGGGAAAAAACATTAAAAGATATTCAGGAAATACTATGAATAACTTTACTCTCATAAATTCAACAACTTAGAAGAAATGGACCAATTCCTTGAAAACCACAAATAACCAAAACTTATCCGTGCTGAAAATCATCAACTGACTAGTCCTGTAACTACTAAAGAAAGTGAATTTGTAGTTAAAAAGCTCTAGAGAAAAAAATACACAAGCCCATTTTGACTCACTGAAGAATTTTAGAAAACATTTTTTAAAAAAGAATTGCATATATTGAAATATTATGTTGTATACCTGGAACTAAGATAGTATTATATGTCAACTTTATCTACAAAATATTTTAAAGGAATTTAACACCTATTTCATATAGTGCCTACCAAAAAAAGGAACTCTCACCAACTCATTTTATGAGGCCAGTATTACTTTAATATCAAGACCAGAAAATAATAGCACACATTCAAAACAACAACTCCACTACAGACCAACATCTCTCATGAACTTAGACAAAAATCCTCAACAAAATTTTAGCACATCAAATTCAACAATATATAAAAAAGTAAGACCCTAATCGGTTTGGCTCAGTGGATAGAGCGTCAGCCCTTGAACTGAAGGGTTCAATTTCGGTCAAGGACATGTACCTTGGTTGCAGGTTCCCTGGCCCTGGTTGGGGTGCATACAGGAAGCAACCAATTGATGTGTCTCTCTCCCATCGATATTTCTCTCTGTCTCTCCCTCTCCCTTCCACTCTCTCTAAAAATCAGTGGAAAAATATCCCAGGTGAGAATTAACAAAACAAAACAAAACAGAAAAATAATATACCACAAGTGGGAATTATTTTGGGTATGCAAGGCTAGTGCAAAATTTTTAAAATCTATCAATTTAATCCGTATCAACAGGACAAAGAAGAATCTGTGGTTGTAGCAACTGATTTGAGCAAAAAAAATTTCAACAAAACTCAACATATACTCATGATAAAAAACAACAACTCCCAGAACACTTCAACCTCATGAAAAGCATCTATAAACACCTAATATGCTTAATGGTAAAAGATGAAATGCTTTTCCTCTAAGATGAGGAACAAAGCAAGATGGCCTGCTCTCACTAATCTTACTTAGCATAGTACAGGACATTCTAGCCACTGAAATAAGGTAAGAAAAGAAAGGTTTAAAAATACAATTTACAATGGAAGAAATAAAAGTATCTTTTTTTTTTTTTTTTGCCGAAGGCATGCTAGCTACACATAAAACGAAAGAAATCTACCAAAATCTCTTAAAACTAATAAGTGAGTTTAGTAAGGTCACAGGACAAGATCAACACAAAAATCAATTGCACTTTCAGACACTGATAATGAAGTAGAAACGAAAATAAAAAATAGAAAGCCATTTATAATCCCCCCCCCCCCCCCGCAAAAAAAATACTTAGGCTAAAACCTAATGTTATGATGAAAACTATAAAATACTGATGAAGAAAATCAAAGTTAATCTAACTACTTGGAGAAATCTACCGTGTTCATGGATCGGAAGACTCAATGTTAGTAAAAGATGACAATTCTCCCTAAATTGTAATCTATAGGTTAAACACAATTCCAATCAAAACCTCAGCAAGTTTATTTGAAGACATCAATAAGCTTATTCTAAAACTTATATGAAACAAGAAAGGCCTTGAATAGCCAAAATAATTTTGAAAAAGAACCACATGGAAGGAACCGCTCTCCCTAACGCTAAATCGTACTATATAGCCGCAGTCACCAAGTCAGTATGATATTCCCAGAGGGACAGACACACAGATCAATGCAACAGAATAAGGAATCCAGAAATAGATCCATTAGGTATGCTCAAGTAGTATTTGACAAAGAAGCAAAAGCAAATAAATGGAGGAGGGTAGCCTTTTCAACAAATGGTGCTAGAGCGTTTGAAAATGCAATGGCCAAAAAAATAATAAAGCTCAACCTAAACCTCAGGGAGCAGGTGTCCTGCTTCCCCAGGACTTGAGCTCACTTGAGGACTTGGGCCAAAGCCTCAACTAATAAAAAAATTTTTTAAAAAGTGTTCCTTTACCTCATTTTGCCTTCTGTTTATGTGGGATAGGATCTAGGTGTCGGGAATCTGAGTTCTCGTCAAAGACCATTTTCCGTCTCACCCCGAGTTTTATAGTCGTGGCTCTCACAAGGATTTACTTGTTTGCTCAAATCTATATGGAAAAGGCCAAACAGTCCACACCCAGAGTCCTTGCTGGACTAACATAGGACCCCGTCTGCCAAGTGCATCCGTGGCATTCAATGTCCAGCCAACCAGTCATGTGAAACACTGAGTTCAAAGCTACCCGTTCACCACAGACTGACCGGCCTAGTGTGATTAGTTCAAGTCTCAGAACGGCGAGCACCCAGCTTTCCCTCTGAAGGACTCTTCCTTTTCACCGCTATTCCTAAGGTCAAGTTATTGTCTGCCAGTGCAAACGTGAACCCCCCCTAGCCTAGAAATCTGAAGTGTGAGTGTTTGGATAAGACGATGATCTTGCCAACTTACGTGGAACTGGTCTGGGGCTGTTCAAATGCTTCTTTGGGAATTTTGAGGCCAGGGTTTCGCTTCTTGCCTGCAGGGAAAGACATGAGGAGAACGTTAGGGTCCGTATCACAGCACTAGCACAGGGACAGGGACGGCAGCAGCAGGAGAGGGCTGACCTGGGACTGTATCTCTCATCTCCCCATTCAGGGCTCCACTCCCTGCCCAGAAGTCTGTGAGTGACAAGTGCCCACACACTGGCTGAGCAGAGTTGCAGTCATGGACGAGGTTTTCCCCAGTCCCGGGTGAAGATGTCATTTGAAGAATGCCAACTCTTGGCCTGGCCGGCATGCTCAGTGGTTGAGTGTTGACCTATGAGCCAGGAGGTCACAGTTTGAATCCTGGTCAGGGGATATGCCTGGGTTCTGGGCTCAGTCCACAGTGTGGGGTGTGCAGGAGGCAGCTGATCTATTCTTCTCTCTCATCATTGATGTTTCTATCTTTCCCTCTCCCCTCTTCTCTGAAATCAATATATATATATATATATATATATATATATATATATATATATATATATATATATATTTTTTTTTTAAAAAAGGAAGGAACGCCAACTCTGTTTAGGTAGGACAACCTCGCCTTTCTCCCTGATGGGAATTTGTCATTCCAACTTCTCTCTTATACAGAATAATGGTAATGGTAGACAGTGTTGGTTATAGGGGTGTGTGTGTGTGTGTGTGTGTGTGTGTGTGTGTTATGTCAGTGAAACGTAGTCACCCTTATCACAGTGTCCCACAATTTTCTAAATCCCCTGTGAAGAAAGGATAGAAAACCATGGAGGTAAAATAAAAAAATACTTTCCCACCGTCTGCCCTGCCCATTCTCAACCGCCTGCCAGAAGCTGAAACACCTGAGAGAGAAATAGAATAATATTTATTTACATTTGCCCTGTTCCAAAAAGGATTAAGATAACAGATGGGCTCATGCAAGGAGGTTATCACTTCTCCGGGAGCCAGATGGGTGCGTAACCGATGTGTTCATCGCTGGGCTGAAACCATAAGAAGGCCGAGCTGAAATTATTTTGTAGATGAGTAAAAAGAACAGACTGAGAAGCGCCAGCTCAGGAAACAGATCAGAGAAAATCGCTGTGGAAGGGCCAGGGATTTTCCTCATCACAGAGATCCTAGGAGTCTCCTGGTGCCAAAGCAGAGCTGGATAGAACGCCCAGGCTGCCACTCTCCTTCTCACCATCTCCTGCAGGCTGCCAGTGAGCATGCGGAGCTGACTCGGGCCCTGGACAAGGTCCTGGGAGGGATTCTGCAGATGCAGAACCTTAGAAATCAAGCCTTGTACCTGCTGGCTGGACAATGACTTCCAAAGACTCCAGGGACTGCTCACCATCACAGAGCCAGCTATGACCCAGTCAGAATCGGAATCCAGGTTTCTGGGCCCCCAGGTCAGAGCTCTTTCCACTGTTTCACAATGGAGGAAGTTTAGAGATGACCAGAGAGAGGGGGTGGTGAAAGTATGGGATTTTTAAAAATATATATATTTTTATTGATTTCAGAGAGAAAGGAAGAGGGAGAGAGAGACAGAAACATCAATGATGAGAGAGAATCATTGATTGGCTGCCTCCTGCACACCCCACACTGGGAACTAAGCTGCAACCCGAGCATGTGCCCTGACCAGGAATTGAACCAATGACCTCCTGGTTTGTAGGTCGACGCTCAACCACTGCGACACACTGGCTGGGCTGAAGTATGAAATTTTGAGTTAAAAAAACAAACACCTTTCTACTCAGTCGGTGACCTCAGAGTCACTTTTCCTCTGCCTTTCCATCTTCTCAATTGTAAAATGAGGAAGTAGCATCAAGACCTACTTATTAGACTAATATGAGAATCAAATGGGATACCTATGAAAGGGCACTGAGATACCTTAAGTAGCTATTAATTGTAATCATTCAGAGAAAGAATCTGTACAGTCATATTAACGAGTAAGTCATGTAAGACAGTGATGAACAAAACTGACCATATTATCAAAGCCCAATGCACTTTGTAATTGAGCCTTTTTTTTTTTTTTTTTTTTTTTTTACTTCCCGTGCATTCAAAATCCAAAATCTAGTTCAATTCTGCCAGGTTGTACAAAGCCAGGGGGAAAAGCCTTTTAGGACCACCTTCATTATAACAGGTTCCCTCCTCATGTCGGCTTATCCATGCTTTATCAGATTCAACACTCACCACTGACTTTCTTACACCTGGAGCTCAGGGCCATTTAGCACGTTATTAAGTTAGCCAGTTGCTGACAATACCCCACCGCTGTACCCACCAAGAATACTAAGGGTGGGGCCTGATTGTGAGAATTCAAATACTAGATAAATGGCCTAATTCCCATCTATGGGCCTCCATCAAACAGGAGGGGAACACTATGTTAAATGAGATAGTCCAGTACCCAATGAATAACAAATTCAGATAGCTAGGTACATATGCCAGTATAGGTGACAGGTGATACAGGCAATCCCAATAGCTACACTCATACTTCCCTTGACATTCTGAAGATAAACCTAAACAAGCATAAAAACTATTCGAACTGTGATAAAAACCCTCCAGGTATCATTTCAGCAAACCCAAAGCAGATGTTATTCCTCAATTCCTACATTTCTCTCTCCTTCTTCTAACTCAGCTCTTACAAGATACACAACACAAGAAATAGCTCTTTACGGAGAAAACCTCTTTGCCAAACTTTAACAGAGCAAATGAATTACTGCACCATAGCAATGAATTATTAGCCATTCGTTAGTAGCAATCGATCGTTACACTCTAACTCCACACACTCAACACATCTCTACAACAAAATAGTCAACGAGAGAAAGAGAGAGATACCTTGTGGCTCGGAGACTAATAGAATAAAGGACCGAGATAACAACAAAGTCTTGGGGGTGTGAGAAAGGGCCCTGGTTCTCTTCTGACGCCAAAAAATAGAAAGTAGTTCCAGGAGACACAAAACCTAGCTGGATTACAAGGCTGGAAAATACTCTGCCTTCCTTTTAAAAAGTGGACCAAATGGCACAAAATTCTCACACACACACACACACACACACACACACACCCCACATTCCATACTTCACTTACGTGCTTGCCACTGTAAACACAGCCCCGTGAGAAGCCAGCGCGAGTGACTCTGGTGAGGTTTTGAAGGCTGCACGGAGGGCTGGCGGCGGAGACCCCACAGAAGCCATGCTTTGCGTAGCTCCCAAGACCACAGGGCAGCAGAAGGAAGCAGCAGTGAGCAGGCTCCACCCTCCTCGAGTGCAGATCTGATCGCAGCAAACCACCGGGAGTTTATTGTTCCCGGGAAACTGCAACTTCAGAAAGAGGGAAGGGAAGTGGGCCCATCTGGACAGCAAGGCGTGACGTTAATCATGACCCAGACCCGGAGGAACCAAACTATAAAAGTAATTCTGCACAGGGCAGCCTTCTGTGGCCTTTCTATATAAATGCCCCTCTCCTTTCTTAAAAGGGAGAAAAACAGTATGTGGTCCATGTCGAGTTGTGTTGATTTCAAAGCAGTCTATTCCCGCTGGCCAGGCTGCCAACCCCAGACGCTCACGTTGGATACAGTGGGACAAAAAGTTAACAAGGGAGTAATATGAATAATAAAGCAAAGTGGCCGAGGATATTAAACAGCCTTTTCCCTTGATATGCTAAAGCAAAAATGACAAAAAAAGTACATCCAAACATAGGCAGATGAACATTGGCCCTATTTATGTTACATGCTAGCAGCAAGCCTTCTCAGAAAGAGAGAATTCCGTGAATTTCTGGAGGTCTCAACAAGCTTTGCCCTTTTATTGGTGCAATCTGCAAAGGGCGAGCCTCCCGGGCCTGACCTAGCATAGGCAGGACGGCGTGACATCAGCCCGTGTCACACCCAGGCCTGTTTTCTCTAAAAACATTGTAGTCGTGCCGCTCCCTCCCCACCCCCCCCTACACTACACACACACACACACACACACACACACACACCCATATATTTGCAAAATTCATCTTAGACCAAAGCTGGGTCACTGTGATCTTGGCCTGGAACAAAATGGCACTGGGAGGAAAAAAAATACACCAAACCTTGCCCATGGTTAGAAAACATTTACCAGGCCACAGAAATGTTAGCTCGCGTTGCCCGTCCCGAAAATGATGGGGTACACAAGACCTCTTGTCAGTGCCCACTCGGAGAGGCAGAGCATAAAGGGCTTCTCTCATGTGCCTTATTACATAAAACAGGGGATCGAGCTCCCGTGCCAACCCAAACAGGGACAGAATCCCACAGGGTCAACAAAAGGTGGCATCGTGAGGAAATGCTGACACCCAAATATTTGTCATCTTGGCTGACGGTGGGGGGGTGGGGGAAGGTGGGCATAATGATGAGGGTTTATGATTACTGACACAGCTTTACAAAAGGATAGCATTGCTCCCAGGGCCAAAGTCATTTTTTTAAAAAAACCTGTTTCCCCATGTGAATGGGGTTGCCGGCCAAGTAACTGGCAACCTGGAGGCCTTGGCTGCCCTCTCCTTAATCCTTGCATCTAGGCTTACGTCCCAAGGGGAGCTGGCAGGGAAACCGGCAGAGAAGTGTCATTCTGTGTTGTTAAATTGCCATGATCGGATGCAAAGCAACGGAGGAAGCAGGGCAGATGGAGGGGGTGCAGGGGGAACACTGGCTCTGCGAAGGTGACATGAAAGTGGGCACCCTCGCTCCCGTCCCCCAAATGCTGGATCTCGTCCACCCCGGAGAGACTCCAACCAGTCTGCCAGGTGTCCTGGGGATTACATAAAAGTTCGAGAAGGGAAGTGCAAAGCTACAATGTGCAGTCATTTTGATTTCAAGGGGGCAGCTGAGTCTGGACTTTAGCTTGGTGTTCCCAGCGCCTACAGGGCTGCAATCCCCTGGTAGACAGGAACTCAACCTGCCGAACTCACCTCACCCACCGTACACCCCACGGGACCTTCCCAGACCTTCCGAAAATCACTGTCCTCGCTGACCGACATCTAGCACAGTGTGAACTGGGTGTCACTTTCCCAGATCTCCAGCATTTTAGTTTAA